GAGGATCATGAAGCAACCCCAGGATAAAGCAGCTAACATTTTATGTGAAGCCTACCACAAAACTACCTCTCAAGGATTGTTCGTAACTTCTGGAGAATTCTACGGCCGTATCATGGGGAAACGTTTTCTCCTAAACGTGCTCTACATCTCAGTAAAAGTTTTAATACCAGAAAGGCAAATTTAGGTACAGAATGATGCGATGGATTTTCAATAAAACGTTGAACACAGTAGTAACACTAACCTAGCGCTCAGCAACATAAACAAAACTAGAAACATTCAGAACGCCATTACAATTTAGTCATGTCTTACCTTGAAAGCTAACTATCACGTAAGGATCGCTTTTTCCGCTGAATTTATCGACATCGGGAAGATTGCTCGCACTTTTAACATTCACCTTTAACATTTTGGTTCAGCAAGCTTAATGCCTACGCTAAGAACTTTTCGCACCAAAAAAAAAATCGTCGTCCATCGTTGAAGCCATGGGAACTCGCGAACGTAGAAAGCGGGCAGTTGTAGTCCCTTGGCCACACCTTTATTCCACGCAACATTATGTTCGTCTGCCTGATCATTGGATACCGTCAATCATCTGTCGCTTTGGGCATAGTAAGTCAAAATCACGAGTTTTATTGTTAACCTTCATAAGAATGAGCTAGCTACAATATGTTCTTTCGTCGTCAAAGAACAGGAAGGGTTTTTTTACATTTAATCACTTTACTTACTGACATCCGATCACATTATAGAAAAGGTGTGATCGGATCACAGCAAGTAAATTGATAAATGTGTAAAAGTCTTCTTGTTCTTTGACGGTGAAAGAGCGTATTGCAGTTAACTCATTCTTAGGAAGATAAGCAATAAAACATTCAGCATATTCATAAAAACAGGTCGCCAAGCCTACGACAAGTCATGTTTGTAAACAAAACCCTCAAAAGACAGAAACATGGTGCGTAATTGGTTAAAAAGAATGGTAATACATTCTTTACAATACGTCTTGTAGCGAGGGAGATGGCAGCGTCGAACGGCGCTCGGAATAATGTAGAAAAGTAATATTCATATCACAATCGTCACAACACAGTACAAGTATTCAGAAAACATAAGCCTAGTAGATCTCTCCCTTGCACTGTGTTTCTTCTACAGTTTAATACCGGAAAGCGATGATTTTTTCCTGTTTTCTTTTACCAGTGACAAGTTTGAATGTGTACAATTCAATTCTTTCTTGTACCGGAGTAAACGAGACGCCATAAATATAATACTAGTTTTGTTCTTTTTGTTTCCTCTTTTCTTTCTTTCTTTCTTTCTTTCTTTCTTTCCGAGCTGTAAATATTTTTAATGAATCGAGCAGCCTTACAAGAAGAACGGTCGAAAAATCATTACGATTAACATCTGAAAGATATTGCGCCAGAGAGTTTTCTTTTTTTTTGCTTAGTAAGCTTCACAACCAAACCTTGGATAAACACGGCTTTATCTCAAATTCCAGCCTTACAAGAAGAACGGTCAAATGTACTTCAGGTAATTTTGATGCATGCTTATCGCGCTAGATAGAAATTTCTGTTCATAACACTTGTCTTGAAAGATCAAACTTGGTAAACACAGCTTTATCTTAAGTAATATTAAATTGCTAATTTCGTCGCCTTAATTCGGAGTCCGAGGACAAGACCTTAGTGAAGTACGGTCGCACTCAGTGCAACACCTTGGCCATGCAATAATCTCTGTCAATATCCGACTGCTACGAAGGTTCTAAATTTCTATGGTTCTTTGAAAAAGTATGTTTGATTTTAAATAAAAATCATCGATTAATTTTCGGATCCCACAGCTCTCTTTTAGGTCAACATAAATCGACAGCGCGCTTCCTACCCCCCCCGATCAAAAGTGGAAACGAATTAAATTCCGCCTTCAAACAAGCAGGTCGAACTCGTCTGATCCGGTGTACTTTTAGTGTATTTTGAAGAGTATTTTGCTGGCATTAATTGTGTGAGAGAAGTTTCTTATCAGAGTTTAAGTGACTGTAGAAACTGCGCCGGATTAATTCTTGGACAATAAAGGTTTGTTGGTACATCAGTTGTTTAAACGTTAACGTATATACTTATAGCTAACTAGCTGGGAATTACTAGGATATACGTTTCTGTATTTTCAAAAGTTATCTTTAAAAAGAAGAAGAGAAATAAATAGGTTATATATTGGTAGTTTTATTTTGTATAATCAAGTGACTCCTGTGAAAAATAATGATTGAATTTTGTCCTGTCATCTTGTCGCCAAGGCAGTGAAATGTAAATAAGTCAAATGTCCTATATCTGAAGGTCACATATCCAGTCTATACGAATATTTCATTTAAAACATAGCTGAATCCGCTCGTACGCAATTGTCAAACAAATGCCAAATATACTATACGCCAAATGACAAATACCATAAAAAAATCTAAATGTCAAAAGCCACACAAATGCCAAACAGGTGATCCATTAGACGAATGCCAGCTGAAAAACACGGAGACCACCAGTGAAAGAACAGAATACACAGGATATGAAGACATGATTGATCATCGCAATTATGCACACAAATTAGCAGTCGTGAAAATTAAGCCTGAAAAAAAATTCAGGCCTGATCAACGGGATTCGAACTTATGACCTCTGCGATATCGATGCAGTGCTCTGGCAACTGCACCGCACCGGTATCGCATAGATCATTGGTTCGAATATTATCTTTCAGGTTTAAATTTTACGACTGCTTAAGTTGTGTGTTTAATTGCGATGATCAGTCATGTCGTCATATCTTTCTCTGCAGTTCACATATATGATCTTTCATATATTCTCTTGTGTAGAATACACAGGAGCAAGTCATTATCAAAGGTAATTCTTGACTACACTGCCTGAGCAATGCCTTTATCAATGCCTTTATTGAAGAGAAACATGAATATCAAAATGAAATACCAGTCCTCATGTCAAGTAATTGTCAGTACCAGAATGCAGATGAAAATGTGACTGTACGAAATTCTAGAGCAACCATTGTCTCCCATCCTCATTTTGGAATGAAACATGAACGAGAACCCTTCAGAATTCCTTACAGAATGATTACCAGACTTTTTAATAGGAAAAAAAACAAACAAGAAATTCAGTGAAATTATACATTAAGAAATGTGTCCCAAAATCATCTATATACTGAAGGCTATGCTGTGTGGACATCATCGTTATCGTTTCTTTGAGCGACGCACAAGGTCAAACTTCACGCTTCAGTCTCAAAGAAGTGTTTCATCAGGCAAAGTTTGTTCATTGTTTGAACCTGGGCGCTAAAGCATAAAAAGCCACCTTTGTTTTGTATGTATGCTGAAGGTAATACTCAGAACATTAAGCCAGCTCCACATGAAAACTTATCATTTATCAAGCAGAATTATATCATTGAGTGGAGATGTGGAGCCAAATCTATAATATAAGGTTTTATTATTCTTAGTCTTTATTCTGATTTTTACAGCTTAGTTATTTTATTAATTTAGTTTATTTTACTCATGTTCTAGATATTTCTACGTTTTTTTTTAAATTAATTTTTATTGGTGAGATATTTTTAAAATCATAGTAAAGCGCTATTGGATAGTGATTGAAATAGCGCTATATAAATAAATTATTATTATTACTACTATTATTATTATTATTATTATTATTATTATTATTATTATTATGATTATGATTACATACATACATGAAAAAATTACTCGATTCTGATTAACTGAGAACAGTACATTTCAAGTGTAATACCAGCGCAAATTACACATCGTAATTCTGGATTATGTTTGGCTGAAAGAAAATAGGAAATTTTCTAAGCCAATGATATTACGTAAAATGATGACGAGGCTTTGAAAAAAGTTTTCTCGAATGAGAAAAAATGGCTTCAAGAAAGATCTTCCCGTACTTTCTCCACGCAAACATTTTCACGGTCGTGAAATAATCAAGTTGAGTTTGGAAAACGGGTATTATTACTCGAAGTCCAAGGATTCCATCGAAGAAACGAGCTTGTTTTTCACAGCAAGCCGCTCTCGTGATGGATCCTTGACATGGTGATGACATGTTAATCGCGTTTTAGCCAAAGGGAATTTTCCATTTCTAGAGAAACGAAGAATTCACTTTCTCAAAAGAAGTCCACAGGCCCTCTATTTTTGTCTTTCCCAAAGGCCACTCCCTTGCGTTCGGGATTTTTCAACTCCCCCGCGGTGAATACTTTGCTTGCGCCCGATCTCGACAAACTCAAGACAAAGTAAAGGAACCATGAGAGGACGGACTGTAAGTATCATTTCACGCAGTCCTTCTCTCCCCTGGTGTTGGGGAAGTGTGAAAATGTGTCAAACTGCAGGAGATCAATTTATCATCGCTCCTTTCTGGCGGCGTGTTAAATGTTGTAACGCCACTTCGAATCCCCGATATCAACTTTACAACACCTCTTGAGGTGGTCTGATAGGATAAAATGCGTACCGAAATTAAAACGTCGCATATTTTATTATCGGCTTAAAGCCGGTTAAAAAAACTTTCAGGGTTCGAGATGATGGATCCGATTTAAGCTGGATAATAGCATCTCTAAGATCATTTTCGCGCGGAAAGCTGCATTTGTGGTTAAGAAAATTATATTCCCGGGATTGACGAATTTCATTGTTTTGATGGCGAAACACGCAATCACAAACTCTACGCTTGAAATTTGGGCCACATCCATGCATGATAGTTTGAATACAAAAGTTAGGTAACCAACTTTTCTTTACATATATCAAAACACATTGGCCGTAAAGGTCTGTGTGAATTTCCCATATCTGCGACATTATGCAAAGAAACGCGTGGCTTGTATTTTGAACATATTTATTTTTATCGTGTCGCACTTAATTGCGCTGAAAACGCAGATCTTGCAGCTTTGTTAATGCGCCATCATTATGGACAGCGAAAGCTTCTTCTCGCCGTAAAGGCCTAAGAAAGCCAAACGTCCTCTTGTATTGCATGTTATAACAAGATATATCTAACGCCCGCCGTGTGAGCAATTAAAAGAAACGTTGCACACTTTCCTTCAGGAACTGAAAATTCCTTAACAATTGTTAACTGATAGAGTAACAGTGCACTTGCTGACCATGTTTTCCTATTTAACAATAACGCATTCATAAATAGACGGAAACCGTGTCTATTCGGCCGTCGACAAAACTAGGAACATGGAACATTCCGGAACATCCCGGAACATCGAATAATCATCATAATTACGCGAAAAATATGTAAAATAAAATTTTAAAAAATTAAATCAAACAAAAATAAACTGGTATCAGCTCGGAAAATAGAAACAAAAGAAAAACATAAAAATGGAAAAAAGAAAGAAAAATGAAAGTGACTGCAATGAGTGAAGGCTAGCAACTAAGAAGAGTAATTCATTCCTTCCAGTTGTTCACCTTCAGTTTAATCACGTGACTGTCCTTTATTCCCAGATTTCGTTCTTCACAGAAAATTAAGGTGGTGGCGTTCGAACTCCTTAATCAGACCTAAAAGTATGGGTACACGAGTGTGATTTCTTTATTCAATTCATTACGTCAATACAAAGATAT